CACTGTCTGAGTGCATACTTTCAGGTATCTTCGTAATAACCTTATTATTATACATCTTTTCCTTCCAAAGATACATGGGAATGCCAAAATTCAACAAGTTTATAACAGAATCAGTGAACTTCTTTGTAAGGAGTCCGGTCAAACCCTGGTGGCAGCCATGTTTGTTTTTATTATTAGAGGACGCTTACATGCGTAATCATTCCATATTTGGAATTCGGATTTCCTAATATGGTAGTATGAAAATACCCCGTAAAATACCGCAAAATTACGACACGCTGTAACTTATGGCGTTACAGTAACAGGTGTATAATAATATCTATTCCATGGAAGATGTGAATTGAATATGTTAATAGTTCTGACATTAAAAATAAAAGAAAGAATTGCATTTATGTTAAATAACTGCGCGAGTTCAAGCATGTAGTGTCATAGTGAACTCTTTTGTAAAATTTTACATTTTCTTCAGTTCTTGGCTTATTGACAGTTCACAAAACAATACATACAACATCATGGTTAATAATAATTGTAAACTCTCTCCAAAGTTTACAAATCTTTACTAAGTTTTGTTCTTGGTTTGTTTTGTATATAATTTTGTGTTCTGCAGTTTGATAAAATCGTTATTTTCGCTGCTAAAGCGAAATTCACTGAATTAAATTCACGTGAACATGTGAAATAGAAACACCAGTGAAAAATAGTGAAAATAAATGGTTTTACAGTAAATGCTTGAATGTAAAGCTGAGGGCAGAGCAATGTTTGTACTGACAATAGTGTAGCGTGCAGGTAATGGTTTCTAGGACAGATGAATGTTGAATGTGATAGTAAGGATCCTTTGCCAGTTTTATCTCAATAGGTACTGGTAGAACAATTAAACATACCAAAGTGAACAAAAGTCTGGCAAAAAATCAGACAAGGAAGTCTATTACACACATTTGAAACAGTGAACATAAGCATGGCATTTTATAATCTGCCAACAAATCAAGACAGGTGGGGGGGGGGGGGTCACATGACCACGAGTGGTATAATGCATGTTATTCATTGTCAGTGTGAAACACTCATTAATGCATCAACAATAATTACAGTCTTTTTTGTCGTCTCTTTACAGAACAGTACTTGGAGAAATGCAAAAATATCCCAGAGTTCTTGAATAGACTTGTTAATTGCAAGCGTAAAATTTTCCTAATTACCAACAGTTCCTACAACTTTGTGTAAGTGTAAATGTTTTGTGAGAATTGATAATTGCAATGTTTATCGATGATATTTTGTACAACAAAGCTCTCTCTTCGTCAAGAATGTCCTGGAACCATATATTGCAATGTATATATATGTATCGGGTAACCATTTTAATGTTGCAGTCTGCGAGCTTTGGTAGAGCTTTCACTATTATGTGACATATTTGATGTTCAAAATTTGTGCGCATTGTAGGAGAAAAAAAACAGGAGTTTGCTTTGTTTTGAATTACTATGGCCCTGAATAATAATGAAACTGAAGCGAATCATTGTTAACCTAGCATGCTGGAATACTAATCAAATGTGTTATCATAGGTTATAGAAACACATAATCAAATGGAAATCTGAAACACTCACAGTGTTCAGATGTGTTGAAAAGCATTGAAATTTGAGTGTTACCTCCTGTAATTATATATTTTCCACAATTTGCAAAAATTCAGATCTTCAAATATTTCAAATACCAGTCACAGTTCCAAAACTGGAATAAAGCTGTATGGATGCCCTCAGATTACAACTTATACCGATATCATAATACCTAGTCTCAACACCTTTTTCAGTCTGAGATTGTATTAACCCTAAATTCTCCTTCCTGGACTCAAAAAATTAGAGAGAGACTCTCATCACTAGACAATTACTACCAGTATTTAAATAATAGTTAGACAACTATGGTTATAATCATCACAGCACTCACCATAAATCCAGAATAGAACCTTGGTTACCTGGCTGGGCGTCCTTGGAGGCACCAATATGCAAATCAATTGTCTTCTTTTCCCAGCGATCGCAAGGAACGTGCCTGAGGTGAACAGGTAGTGTAATTAATTGCCAGTAACTGAATAACAATAGAACTGGGTGAAACAATTTTTCTATTTTTAGCTCTGTTGTCGACTTTGTCAATCAGAGCTTATCATGTGCGTGATCGTCCATCAGCATCTGGCATCTGTCGTTTGTGTCAACTTTTTACCTTTTAAACTTCTTCTTGAAAACTACAATTCTTATTGCTTTGATGCTTGGTGTATTTGTACCGCTCTTAGATTTGTTCATTTCATGATGATATCTTCAATTGAAATGTGCATTGCTAAAAGCGGAGCTATCTCAGCCGACGGACTGCTTGTTGTATAGTCTTATACAATATCTCCTGAATCATGCAAATATGTCCATATTTAATATTATATTATTTTGTTTTGACAGAGAGAAAGGTATGAATTATATAGTTGGTGCAGATTGGATGGATTTATTTGATATTGTTGTTACACAGGCTAGAAAACCATCATTTTACAGTGAGAATAAAAGGTCTGTGTATTTTTTGTTTAATTATGGATCTACATAATATAGATTCACCGTCATGCATTCATCTGTCCCTCGGACATGCATAGACTGATTACACTCAGTATTCACATGCATACCGGTAATCAAGAATCCCGACTGTTAGCAATTTTAGTGCTGAAAATGTACTGAGATTTTTTGACCAGTGAATAATCATTTAATGATTGCAATCATTCCATGATTGTGTTACAACTTGCTGCATGTATCGTATAATTTCTATTCATTATTTTAATATTTTTAATATTTTAAAATGGACGTAAATTGAACCGTAACATTTTAGTCCATGTTAAAACTGTTTGAGCAACTGCCGTCGGTCTCATTTCATGGATATACCTCGACTGATTTTGAATGGAAGACTTATGCATGACCGGTGGCCATTTATTGTCCTAAAACAAAACATTCTTGCATGCCCACAGTGCAAATTAAAAATAAAAGATTTATCGCATTTATTGTCTTCCACATGATTTCTTTGAAAGAAGAGTAGCCTTACTGTTTTTTAATTTATCATTTTTTTTTTTTTTTTAAGGAGACCATTTCGCCATTTTGATAGATACCACAGAGTACCACAATGGACGAAAGTGGACAAGTTTGAAAAAGGACAAATATACTTGGAGGTTGGCGACTCATTTTTACCTTGTCCGTTTCATTTTAGATAGAGGTCAAAGGGGAGGGGGAAAATGTCTGTTTTTGTTGTCGTCGTTGATCTCATCATAAAACCTTTTCTTGTGGTTACAATTGGTTTTTATCTAATTTCTTTCAAATTTGGATATTATATTTACCAGTTTGGAATCTTGGCCAAGTTTGATGTTGGTATATCTTCTATAGTATGTGTATTTTTCAAGATATTGGTTAAATTTCAATTACAATTGTCTTCTTCTTGTGGTTACAATAACTTGTTGTAACAATTCCAATTTAATCATCACTATAAAATGTCAACCAAGTTCAATATGGCTGTAACTAGCAAGTGCAATTATCAAGATAAATGTATGGAGTAAAATTTTGCTATAATAAAACGTTTGTTGGATGTAGAAATAAGTGGACAGAAGAATACATTTATACTGCTGATATTGAGAACAAGATAGTAAAAACATAATGTTCTTTCCAAGATCTGTCAATTAGATGAGTCTAATAAACTGATGTGTAGTATAAATAAAAATATACAGTGTTCTTTTCCCGCCAACTCTAGCTATTATTTAATTTTGCCATATTTATTACTGCACTATTATTTTAACTTTTATACAATTCATTTTAAATTATTCTGTAAGGGAAATTGCAGTTAACACAGTACATGTAGTATTAATTAAGGAATACATTGACTAGTTCTTTTCTTGTTAAATTTTGCTTATATATGTTGCTGTATGTTTTATGAACTTTTACATAATTCATGTTAAATTATTCTATAAGGGACATTGAGATTAATTTAGTACATGTAGTATTATTCAAGGAACATGAATGTAATTATGATGACTTCATCATTGAGCACCTAAATTTTAGCCAGTATTTTCTACACAAAATGTTTAGATATATTATTACATTGTATGAGGACTTATACTCACTTTTGGCATGCAAAGAAAAGATTTTGTGTCGCTAGTTTTCATCCATCCAACCAACCATTTGTTGTTTTATTTAGATTCTCAATGGGCAAGGTTGTAATAGCTATGCTATGTTTATAATTTAAATTTTTAAGAATCATGTAGTCTTTTCTTAAATCAAATTTGCCACTGAAAACCGCTTATTTTTATTCTCTGGGAAAATTAAATGATGTATTTGTTATATTACTAGCGCTTACACTAACGTAAATGACAGGTGAGTCTATGGTCAAAATAATTCATATGTTAATGTTTCGGCATGCAATAAATCATAAACCTTAGAAAGGTCAATGAATAAATGCACTTGTTAGTTTATACATACATGTGCACTTCTAATAGAGATGTGCTTATAATAGAACAAAATGAGTAAAGGTAACGATATTTTACTGCTTAATGTATGCATATAATTAGAGAAAATGTTACTCAGGAAATGAATTTTCACTAAGCATGTCAATGATGTTTGGAGGGAACATTATTATCGTACATGAAAGTAACTGTACTTTTGGCTCCAGTGCTTAAGCACACAATGGATGTAACTTGTGTCTAACTGTTTTGCAAAAATATGGAGTCATTTTAATAATCAGGTTTATTTTGTGAAAAATGACACAAGTTGGGATTAGTGCTCAAAGGATTAAACTGGAATCAACTCTAATTAAAAATGGTAAAATATGTCAAAATATGTCATTTGTATATTTAAAATGTCACTTAATGTTGTAACTTTGGTTTTCTACATAGGGCAATTTGGAACTGTTTCACAAAATGACTGGATGGGTTGGATCATCAGTCATGTACTTTGGAGACCATGTTTACAGTGACTTGGCTGATCCAAGTCTCCGCAGCGGCTGGAGAACAGGTGCAATTATCCCAGAATTAGAGGTAAGAAGAAGAACCATGCTGAGAAATGACAATTAAAATGACATCTGCCAGCTCAGAATAAAATAGCATGTCTAGAATTGAAAAGAATGTAAAAAAAAAAGGTTGACTTGAGAAACTAACGATTTCCATAAATTGTGATTGCCTTTATTATTATATATAGCTTCTAAGTAATAACACTTTTAATTTTATTCACATTGATTGTGCATCTTCTATAGCAACTAAATAGTATGTTAGTCCTGATTTACTGTTTTCAACATACTGTAATTTTCATAAAAACTTGTTTTTCTTTATTTTCTAGTCTGAAATCAATACTATGAATTCAGATGTTTACAAAGAATCTCTAACATGGCTCGTTGCATTACAGAACCTCATTGAAACAATGCAGGTGAGATTATAAAAGCTTTGTTTGTTTGTTTGTTTGTTTGTTTGTTTGTTTACAGTAGATGGTAATAATTAATATATATATATATATTTCTGTAAAGATATATTCTCGGTAAAATTCAGTTAAATGTTGTTTATATTTCGAGTATCCTGGCCAAAAATCAATTCTGAAAATTACATCATTTTTGTTTTACTGATTAAAACCTGACATATGATTCTGTTTATCAACTAAGTTATTATTGTTTTCATCACGATAAACTTGTCATGCGTTTTTGTTTTGAAATCTGCTTTGATGTTCAAAATTTGCTGCAAGGCAGTGACCACATGAGTAAAATAGTTGTCCTATGAATTCAGATGGGGAATGACCTTATATATCTATGCAGGTAACAACTAAAGAGTCTGGTGTTATTAAGAGCCTTATTTTCGAAAAATTGAAAGTTGTATTTTAGTGGAAAGTTGTCATTTTGGCACTATTATAATGCTTTTACCATTGGTTCCTATGGCAGAGATATTATGCAATATCTCAAAATCTAGTCTGGTGACATAAGCTGAACAAATCATATATTGTTAATGATGGAGTACTTTTTGTTGTTCTGAATTATTTAAAAAATCTGGGTGTAAAAAAATGCAATTTTTCTTTAACATTATGTGTTCTATGAAATTGTTCTAAAAATAATGATTTTCAAGAAATATTATCGGTAGGACACGTTTCTTAAAAAACTTTACTGTAACACACAAAATGATGCTATTTTATTATACCATGGGACATTAGCTTCATGATTGTACATAATAAACTAATAAACATTGTCATGCGATTTATAACCAATTTTGACAAAAATTATGAGTACCTTATAAAGGGAAAGTGCTTCACATCAAATATTGATTTTGTGATATGATCCATCTTTAATCAATGAACAGAAAATGCCACAAACTCAATTACAAATGAAACTTTGGAAATGATTGGAGATTTTCAACTATTGGCAAGAAACTTCTGACATTATTATTGGGTGCAGTCAATCAAAATAACATAAAGGTTTTAACTAATGCTATTGTAATTGTTAATATTAGGCTAATCAATCTCCTGACTGTCAGGCTGTGATACAAGAATGGTTGAATGAAAGAAATAAACTAAGGTAAGTCAGTTAGGCTTGTGTTGTCTGTCATGGCTTCTTGGTCTGAATACATATAGACATATTAACTGCCTGTATTTTGATAACAGCGCATGGTCTGTTTCTGGCCATCATCAACAAAATCCAAGAGGGGATATGTGCTATTTCCTGAATCTAGTTGATGGGTGTTTTGTAACATGTCACATCTAGATTATGCTACATTCAGAGAGTGTTTGGTCCCTAACTTTCATTCAGTATCAGAGATTGGTGTTCTATTTGCAACAATACAAATAAATTATTAGAATATGCAACACTGTAATTATGTGTTCTCACCAGATTTACATGCAGTAATTCATGATGTGAATATGCATATGCACATCTTTTGTTGTCACGTTTTGACAATAGCTGCACAAGTCATTGTTTGAGTCAGAGGCTTCACATTCCTCATCATGACATCTGAATACAGGGATTGTCAAAACTAGGACTTATGGTTTGCCAGACTCGATAGATTTTGTAATATAAGTGTCCATCAAATAATCAATATATTGTTCATCAGATGATTTTTTTTATTTGCAGGATACTGACTAAAGAAGTGTTTAACCCAAGGTTTGGTAGTTTATTCAGAACGTATCACAACCCTACGTACTTTTCTCGACGTCTCTCAAGGTTTGCCGATTTCTACACATCTGATATAATTAATCTTTTGAATTACTCAACGGATCACACGTTTTATCCAAGAAGAGCTGCTTTACCGCATGAAAACTACTACCATGCCGGTATGTCTTATCACAACCCAGAGCTGTAAGTATGATGGCTTTAGATTCTTGATTCAATGTATTGATGATGCGATAGATCCACATGGAATTTGGACATTCCATCATAATTACATTTTGTGTGCCCGTTTACAGTTTGCGTGCTCGTTTACAGTTTGCGTGCTCGTTTACAGTTTGCATGCTCGTTTCCAGTTTGCGTGCTCGTTTACAGTTTGTGTGCTCATTTACAGTTTGTGTGCTCGTTTACAGTTTGCGTGTTCGTTTACAGTTTGCGTGCTCGTTTACAGTTTGCGTGCTCGTTTACAGTTTGCGTGCTTGTTTACAGTTTGTGTGCTCGTTTACAGTTTGTGTGCTCATTTAGAGTTTGTGTGCTTGTTTACAGTTTGCATGGTCGTTTACAGCTTTTGTGCTAGTTTACAGTTTGTGTGCTCGTATACAGTTTGTGAGCTTGTTTACATTTTGTGTGCTCGTTTACAGTTTGTGTACTTGTTTACAGTTTGCATGGTCGTTTACAGCTTTTGTGCTCATTTACAGTTTGTGTGCTCGTATACAGTTTGTGTGCTTGTTTACCTTTTGTGTGCTCGTTTACAGTTAGTGTGCTCGTTTACAGTTAGTGTGCTCGTTTACAGTTTGTGTGCTTGTATACAGTTTGTGTGTTTGTTTACAGTTTGCATGGTCGTTTACAGCTTTTGTGCTCATTTACAGTTTGTGTGCTCGTTTACAGTTTGTGTGCTTGTTTACCTTTTGTGTGCTCGTTTACAGTTTGTGTGCTCATTTACAGTTATGTGTAATGAGTTGTATATCTTTGGTAACTTATTATTCACATAAAACCAATGTGAAATATTAATGATAATACCGGTAGGTTGAACATACATTTACAAATCATTTATTCATTAAAAATTTTCTTCTTTTTTTACAGACTCTAGATTCAAATGTATACCACACACAGCTTTATTTGTACAAAATGTCAGTACTTCACATTTTTTGGGAGCAATTAATAAAGTATTAATACCGTGTGCTAAGATACTACCAATGTAATTTAAATATCACCAGTGTAATTTATATAAAATTTACA